TCTCTAGCGCGACCGGTGCCGTATGAAACCCATCTTGTCCACCCCGCCCTCGACCAGCCATGACCACCTAGACCAACCCTCCAGCCCCCGCCCCGTACTGCCTTCGACGCTGCGCGCAGACGCTCGCTGAACGGCGCCAGTCCTCCCGATCCCTACGGTGCGCCCTCCCCCCGACCGACTCTCCTCCCCCCCGCGCCCTGGCGAGCTAACGGTGCGAGAGAAAAAACAGGCCCCTCGCACGAATACCCACCGCCTCCATCCTTTGCGCGCCCGCAAATGCCGCCTCCATCGTCGCCCACCCAGCAGCAGCAGCAGCAGCAACAACAACAACAACATGCTCATGCCTCGCAGCCCCCGCGCTCGCAGTACCCCCCCAACTTTGCTGCCAACCGCGACCTGCCAGGCCTCGGCCAGCCAATGCGACCGGGCACCAGCATGGCCATCTCGTCTCTAATCGGCGGCGGCGGCGGCGGCGGGGGTGACACGGGCGCCCCCGTCGCAACAACACAGTCGCCATCGTCGCCCTCCACAAACGCGCCGTCGTCGAGCGCCCACGCCATGCAGCCGCCCTCGCCTCGCCGCGCCCTGCCATCGGACCCGCGATCAGACTTTGCTGCCTTCCGCCGCCAGCAGACGCCTGAGCGCGGTACCTATGCAGCCAGCACCGCGCGGCAGGACGGACACGCTTTTTCGTCGGCATCCCCCAGCCAGTCGTACAGCAACCAAGCGTCACCTGACCCCGCCCGCCAGTCGCTCCCGCCAAACCCACAATCCTACAAGCCCATGACGTTTCCTGGCCAGCGCCTCTACGCTCAAGACCCGAATCGCCAGTCGTCTGCAAACGTGCCACAGAGACCGAACAGCCAGCCGAACGGCCCCCCGGAAAACAATGATCAGGAGGGCAGGGCCATGTACGATACGTTTGGAGGCCGGCGCAACGCATTTGGCCCACCCGAGGAGCGACGACGAACGCTGGGCGAGTCGCACCACGCGAGACCCAATGCTGCCGAGCTCCTTGCAGGCGCCAGTCAGACCAGGTCGGAGAGGGATCGCGCTGCGACAGTGCATCCCGTGTCGCAGTCTGCATTCAGTCCACCTCAAGAGCACCGGAATATGTCTGGTTCATCGGAGCCTCCGCGCAGCCTCTGGCGGCACTCGGCCCCGACGGGTCCTGGCCGCGAGCTTGCCCACGAAGGTCGACAGGAGGAGCCTCCACCGATGCACCGCACCTATGGTCCATATCCTCCTGCGATGCTAGGCGGTGGCCGCTATGCTGCCCAAAGTTCTGAAGAGATGCTTCGACGCAGTGTGGACCACTTGGGCCACCGTGTAGTGGAACAATATCACGCTCCTCCTACCTCGGATCCCAATTCTGTGGAGCGCCATCGAACCGAGCCACTTGCTCGTTCCTTGTCGTCTGGGGGCAGGTCGCTCTATGACCAGCCCCAGAAAATGGGCGAGGCCATGCAACACTCAAAATCCCACATTGGTTTCGGGCTGGAGGCGAGTAGACGGACTGGACGCGCGTCCCCACTACCACAAGCGGTCCAAGGTGCGCAAGCACAGCCTTTGTCGATTGGCAAAGACCCGGGGATCAAGAGCGAGTTTGGGCGAATGTTTTCAGGCCTTGGTAGTGGGCTGGGATCCTCTACGCCATCACGCGGGAGCCCAATGCCGCAGAATGGGCCGGGCTCGTTTGAGTCCGACAGTGGGGAAATGATGCGAAGGATAGGCTCTCAGCAAGGCAAGAAGCCGAAGCGACCAAAGGACGAGGAAGGCATTTTCGACATGGACAGCGCCGATGGCAGGGGAACCCCGTTCGGCTCTCGCGGTGCTAAACGGAACAAGCACCACCATCAGACGGCGCCACACCATCAGTAAGTTCACCGGACAGTCTTTTCTTTTCTTTTACAGAACACGAGCTAACAAGTCAGCCACCATCACCACCACCATCATCATCACCATCAAAAGCCCGACGATGAGGGTCTATCTGCACCAGCACCTACGACGAGTCTCAACGGGCGACAGACAAGCCTGCCTCAACCAGGCCCAGGCCAATCCATCCATCACCATCATCATATCCAGGCAAACCCGCACCACCACCATCACCATCACCACCATCATGCCCCCCGCCCTAATCAGCCTGTGCCGCATGTGGCAGCCAAGGTGCCTATCAAGGTCTACGAGATCCAGCACATCTTGGAGGAAGCTGCCAAGCGACCTCGTAAACATCTCGGGTCACAGTTGTACCAGGCCAGAACAGAACTGCCCAAACCCAACTCATCATTGGACGATCAATTTGGCTATGCCTCGAAGCCACAACGGCTGCCTTGCTTTGACGTGAACCCTATCAATTGCACCTTTACCATTCGAGTGCCCAGGTACTACTTGAAGCCACGGCAAAGACAGCATATTGTATTGGAGAGACACTTGTGGGGTGCACGTGTGTATCGGGACGACTCGGACCCCCTGGCAGCTGCCATTCACTCTGGGTGGATCCGTGGTGAGTGGGATGATACTGTCGATGTAGCCATGCTCGATCCACGCATCACTGCGCCCAACGACCCCTCGGATGCCGAGGATGTTCTCACCAAGCTCCCAGCTGCACCCGTAACACCGCCTGCGGATATGGATTTGCAGATTGAGATACTCATCTTGCCTCAGCTCCAGGAGTACACTGGCTCTGTCGAGTATGGAATCTCGAGCAGGAAGAGCAAGGCCCACGAAGGGCTTAGCTTCATGATCAACAAGATCCGATGGGTCGAAGAGGGCGTTGGCAGCCGAGGACAGGACCGAACAGCAGCAGCACTCAAGCGGCGACTAGACGCCAGCGCTGCTCTGCTCACGCTCAAGAGCGGGATTCTTGAATACCACCGGGTGAATGGCATGACAAAACTACATGCTTGACATTTTGTCGAGTTGACGCAGCATCTGGACATATAACGGCCGTCTCAGAATTTATGGCGCATGGCATTTTGTAGCATCAAGTTGAGCTGAGCATTGCTAGATACCCGCATTTTTTTTTTCAAAGCTCAACGTGGGCGTAGTATTGCATATGTAGCGTCGGCGAAGTTGGTGTTGTTATTTTGACGACGACTTAATGAGCTGTTAGTTAGTTTGGCAGAAAAAGCAAATAATCAAAGAATGGCAAAGGCCCATGTAGCGATAATGACAAGTGTGCCGCTCCCTCGTTTGGTGTTGGCGTAGCTGCACGTGGTCTCGAGGGGTGGTTGATAAAGGCACCACCCACGCGATTACACACATGCAGGACCAAGGGCGATAGCGGTGTGCGCTGGTCCTGCTTTAAAGCACTGATACGGCAATCAGGCCCTGGCTGTCTGGCGAGTTGCACTTGCCCATCTTCA